TCGCAAGCACCTGAAAAACATCACTGGTACCCTCACATGTCACAATATGTCACAATTAGTTTTTGAAAATTCACAATTATCGTAAAGTCTCACAAGTAAAATTTTAGCTCCCAGCTATCGATTTTTTTACAAATTTTGTTTCAAAAACAAGCACGCCAAAAAATTACTTGCTTAGTAAATCTTATTTACTTGGCTAGTAAATTTACTTACTTGGCTACTAATTTTTTACTATGGCTAGTAAATTGCAAAATTTACTTTACTAGGTCCTAGTAAATTTTACTACTAAATTTGTTTTTTTTAATCAACGGGCTACTAAAATCACTAGATTTCGAGACTCAGGGTAATCATCGGATATATCCGGTGTTCGTCAGAACGTCGATCCTTGCAAAAAAATGTTTCTCCAAGAGCAAAGTCAAGCACGAAGCAGGGCCCTATTGTGTACAGACAACACTCAGTGTTTTACTTGTTTTGTTTGTTTTTTCCCTGACCATCAAAGCTATATTTATTATTTGATATTGAATCAACAGATATATCCAGTGATTGTCAGAATGATGATCCTTGACAAATCTGATTCTCAAAGGAAAATCAAACACAAAACATGCCGCTATTTTGTATACATACAGCACGCGCTGTTCTACTTGTTGTGTTTGCCTCTTTTTCCCGGCTCAAAATTACCTGATGCATGTCGCGAAAATGATATCCTGATAAAATCCTCATGATATCCTTCAAACGTTCTGATGATCATCTGTAAATTCTGATATTCTCGGAAATGGTTCATGATATCCTCAGATAAATCTGATGACCCACAGAAATTTCTGAATGTATCCCCCAGAGGTTCTGCTGATATCCTAGAATCCTACAACATCCTAGATGTTTTTTGATGATACCGTCAGAGAATTATTTCTCAGAAATTTCTGATCCTCAGAGATTTTTTATCCTTCGGAAACTGTGATTGCATCCGCAAAAACAAAATTTCCATCAGTTTCCAAAAGTGACATCCTCCAAAATGTCCCATCTTATCCTTTGAACATGTTGCCATGTTGTTCATTTTCCTTTAAGCAGTTTTATCATGTACATCCACAGAATCTTGGAAACTGTCCTGATGTACGTTCAGGATATTCTGACTACCACAAGAACCTTCTCTTGATATATGTGGATATCCTGAGAACAGTCGCATGATATCCTCACACAATCCGTTGGTATTTTTCCTCAAACCCAGTAAATCACATGGTTGATTGGTATAGCTGGCAGAAATCGGCCAAAATCTTATTTCCCACTGAAAAGGGAAATTAAGGTCCCTGCCACCCCAAATACATTAAAACACGAATGTTACACAAAAAATGGACCTCGCAACATGTACTATTTTTTTCTCGATGGTTCCCTTCATTCATGGTAAATGTTGGTAAATGGGTTGTCCTGACATAAGTGGTTAGATTCACCAATATGCATGTATAGCGCACATTTTTTTTGATGCACCTTAAACGCATATTGACCCCCCCGCTAACAGAATTGGACCATAAACGTATAGTGGGCAAAAAAAAGGGACTTCACGAAATTTACTAGTTGCGACAGGGCTTTTCAAGAACCTTGGAATGCAATGGGGTAAACATTGCACATTGCATGATCATACATGTACAGGTTCTTTTGCATTCAGAATCTCCGTTCTGCCTCACAGGATGGAACTGAATCTTCACCTGCCTCACCAAGAGTGAAGCCGCACCAGTTGGTCTCAGACTTCCTGGCCAACTGAAACTGAGCTGGTCGTTGAGCCGCCCTTTGGCATTAAAGAACATGAGCTAGTCGCCTGGCAGATCATCAAATGTGTGTAACCTAATCCATATATGGGCTCTTAAAAAATGGTACAAAATGGTAACTAAGTAGCCCAAAAAGATTATAGTAACAGGCCAGCAAATTCGTTGTTTTTCTTTCAGGAAAACTGTTTGAAACAGCAGTGTTGTCAGGGGCAAGAGTGATGAACCGAAATAACGAATCCCAAAATGCTCCTCGTTGCGAACGCTAAAAATGTGATTAACACAGTATGCACCGTGTGCTCAATGAGCATGTTGGCAACCCTTTCTTGTTTAAGTCCACATGTTGGCAACCCTTTCTTGTTTAAATCAAACCAGCAAAAGGCAGCGCAATTCTCATTAATGGCAAGTTGCTCCAAGACAACCATGCCGTCATCGGAAGATGTAGACGTGCGGCCATTATATTGTTTGAGGTGTGGGGCTGCATGGCAGCTCTGTAAATGGGCGCTCTTTTCCACTTTTTATGACCCTTCCTGCTGGCGAGCGCCGCCAGCTCTTGTGCGCAGAACTGCTACCCTTCTCGCCTCTGTCACCACCGACACTTTCACCATCTTTCAATACTTCTTTCTCTGTTTTTCATTTAAACAACGAGAATGGACAAATCATGTTTGAAATCAAATGGTCAAAATTTGCTCGAGGTTGGGATGACACGCCTCCTCACCTATAGACAATGCTGCAAATTCAGCCGACACGGCTGCTGAATTAAGCTGACCCCAACAATGGGCGCTACGCTACACTCAAAATGGGATTGCGGCGCATCACCTACCGTCTCCGCCAAAGATAAAACGAACTCGAACATGCTGGACGGTGCAAACAAGGGTTGATGTCTCTTATACGGAGTGCCGTGGAAGCATCCTATTTGTCTCGTGACCAAGAAAGAATGCAACATGTAACATGTTTTTTTGGCCGCGGCTTTGTTTGACAGCTTTTTAAAATCAACTTCCAAAATCGAACCATGTCTTGTGACTTTCCTCGGCTATACGCACTACCCTTCTCGCCTCTGTCACCGACTCTTTCACCATCTTTCAATACTTCTTTCTCTGTTTTTCATTTAAACAACGAGAATGGACAAATCATGTTTGAAATCAAATGGTCAAAATTTGCTCGAGGTTGGGATGACACGCCTCCTCACCTATAGACAATGCTGCAAATTCAGCCGACACGGCTGCTGAATTAAGCTGACCCCAACAATGGGCGCTACGCTACACTCAAAATGGGATTGCGGCGCATCACCTACCGTCTCCGCCAAAGATAAAACGAACTCGAACATGCTGGACGGTGCAAACAAGGGTTGATGTCTCTTATACGGAGTGCCGTGGAAGCATCCTATTTGTCTCGTGACCAAGAAAGAATGCAACATGTAACATGTTTTTTTGGCCGCGGCTTTGTTTGACAGCTTTTTAAAATCAACTTCCAAAATCGAACCATGTCTTGCGACTGTCCTCGACCATACGCACTACGCTTCTCGCCTCTATCGCCGACGCTTTCACCATCTTTCAATGATTCTCTGTTTTTTCCGAATGCGTAGCGAAAGGTTCCCGTTTATAGTCTGGAGGTCTGGGGGTCTGGGGGTCTGGGGGCTGGACCCTTGTTCGCCTCCAGTTGCTCGTCGCGTCGTCGTGGCGTCGTCGTTGCGTCGTCGTCGCGTCGTCATGGCATCGTTAATACCGTGTCTATGGGGGAAGCTGCAAAACCTCAGTCTCTGCTTGTCTTCTGGCGTCTCCGTGTCTATGGGGGAAGCTGCCACGCCTCGCTTGTTTTGCTGCGCTCTCGTCGCCGTGTTTATGCAGAAGCTGCAAAACATTAGTCTCTGCTTGTCCTCTGCATCTATGCTGTGAGGGAAGCTGCGAAACATCGTTCGTTTTGGTGCGCTCACGTCGCCGTGTTTTTTGGGGAAGCTGCAAAACATCCCTCGTTTTGCTGCGCTCACGTCGCGATGTCTATGAGGGAAGCTGCAAAACCTCAGTCTCTGCTTGTCTTCTGGCGTCTCCGTGTCTATTGGGGAAGCTACAACCTCAGTCTCGTCTCGAATTTCTGCTTCTCCTCTGGCGTCTCCGTGTCTATGGGGGAAGCTGCAAAACATCGTTCGTTTTGCTGCGCTCACGTCGCCGTGTCTATGGGGGAAGCTGCAAAACCTCAGTCTCTGCTTGTCTTCTGGCGTCTCCGTGTCTTTGGGGGAAGCTGCAAAACCTTAGTCTCGTCTCGAGTTTCTGCTTCTCCTCTGGCGTCGCCGTGTCTATGGGGGAAGCTGCAAAACATCGCTCGTTTTGCTGCGCTCACGTCGCCGTGTCTATGGGGGAAGCTGCAAAACCTCAGTCTCTGCTTGTCTTCTGGCGTCTCCGTGTCTATGGGGGAAGCTGCAGAACCTCAGTCTCGTCTCGAGTTTCTGCTTCTCCTCTGGCATCGCCGTGTCTATGGGGTAAGCTGCAAAACATCGTTCGTTCTGCTGCGCTCACGTCACCGTGTCGGGGAAGCTGCAAAACCTCAGTCTCTGCTTGTCTTCTGGCGTCTCACGAACCATTCCATTACTTAATTTTGGACAGATATGGACAGATTGACTCGTGCAGCCATGACATTGTCGATGTGCGGCCGACTGGCTGCTTAGTAAACGCATGTGATTTGCCTTTCTACCTTTTTCATCCTTTTTCCGATCCTTCCTGCCAGCGAGCGTCGCCGGCCCTTTCTGCGCAGAGCAGAAAAGCTACCCTTCTCGCCTCTATCTTTCAACATCTTTCAACTGCATGTTTGCTGTTTTTTGCATTTTTCTACGAGAAAGGACGGATCAGATTTAAAATGAAAAAAATAAACCTTGCTCGAGGTTGGGAAGACACGCCTCCTGGCCTAGACCGCGCTGCAAAATTCGCCGACATGGCTTGTGAATTAAGCTGAGACCCCATAGGCTGTGCTACGGTTGTCTCCAACTGCAATGAGAGCGATTGTAGCTCCGCTCAAAATGGGATTGCGGCGCATCACCTACCTTGTCTCTGCGGATCAAACGAATGCTGACATGTTCGGATCGTGTTTGTGCCCAGTTACGCAAACAATGGTTGCACTCTAAACAATCCAATGCTTCTTGCTATCGAGAACTCTGAATGCAACATGTTTCTTGGCTGCAACCTTTTTCCGAATGTTTCTGAAACTCAACTTGCAAATTCGATCCATGTCTTGATTTTCCTTGACTACGAAATTCACCCAAATCTTAAGACTCAGATTCAACCCACGTGCAAGGTAGCCGTGCGGCCGAGGCTAGACAACAAAGACTGAAAGTCAAGCTCTGTGCAGGACTGACAGCATCTTAAAAAGTTTAAGGCCCGTGGCTCAGAAAAGATTGACTGAGGGTCCAGTCAATTTGTTGGCTGCCAAACTTGAGCACTTGAGCCTTGTCGGATCTTGAGACTGCACCCATCGGCTGTCTGCCTGTAATTCATTGGAGACCGCACTGTGAGTCGGCAGAAAGTATGGCTGAAATGGGAGCTGAGCTGGTCGAAAGGTCCGAGTCTTGAGGCGTTTGTGTTGACAGTTCGATCTCTTCAGGTTCTTGTTGAGACTGCTTCAAGAATTTTATGACTTCACACCACAGGGCTTGCTCCACCGTCTGGTTCACATACTCAAAGGATTGATGTTCTTTTTGGATGCGTTCTTTGATGGCATCCGCATCTGCTTGGACTGAAGCTCTGGCCTCTGCCAGGTCAAGTCTTTTCATTGGAATTGCTGCGAGGGTGTTATTGGACAAGGGTTGACAAGAGAAGCCTGGTATACTATGGTATACTCTAGATGCTATGCCACTGTGTTGTGGATCTTGCAGTATAGCAAAAGATGAATTTGCGAAATCCACACAGACCCTCCAGCCTTCTCAGCATCAACTTGACATTGTTGGGTTAAGTCCTTCAAAGTTTGATGGCTCGGAACACAAGGTATCGAAACATCGAATCAGAACATCTACTTTTTAGAATTCAGAAGGGCAAACCAATCCACTGAAACAGCTCTAAAATTGCATTGAATAGACCCAAAAAAAACTGCCCCAGCAACCAAATCGATTTCCCGATTGCAGAGATTAACTTTGTGCTACATTTAATACAATCATTTATATTATGTTCATTTATTAATTGTGTCTAAAATTATCTAGAATGTCTGCTGTTTCAGGAATTTCTGCTTTTTGGAGCAAACTACAATAAATTTGTTTTCGGGTGTTTTTTAATCGAGACACGTATCAAAAAAAAATATAAATGCATCAAAAAAAAATATCCAGCACGCATCAAAAAAAAATAAAAATGCATCAAAAAAAAATATCCAGATGCCACTGTGTGAGACCTCCTGAGTCTCGTGCTGCAAACCTAGATCAAAAAAAAAATATCCGTATCAAAAAAAAATATAGTAGCAGCAGCAGCAGCAGCAGGAGTAGTAGTAGTAGTAGTAGTAATAGTAGTAGTAGTAGTAGCAGCAGTAGCAGTAGCAGTAGCAGTGGCAGTAGCAGTAGCAGTAGCAGTAGCAGCAGCAGCAGCAGTAGTAGTTGTAGTAGCAGTAGTAGTAGTAGTAGCAGTAGTAGTAGTAATAGTAGTAGTAGTAATAATAGTAGTAGTAGTAGCAGCAGTAGCAGTAGCACTAGCAGTAGCAGTGGCAGTAGCAGTAGCAGTAGTAGCAGCAGCAGCAATAGTGGTTGTAATGGTCGTAGTAGTAGTGGTAGTAGTGGTACTAGTAGTGGTACTAGTAGTAGTGGTAGTAGTGGTGGTAGTAGTAGTGGTAGTAGTAGTGGTAGTAGTAGTGGTAGTAGTGGTAGTAGTAGTAGTAGTTGTTGTAGTAGTAGTAGTAGATGTGGTTGTCGTCGTAAGAATAACAATAGTCGCAGGGGTAGCAGTAGCAGTAGCAGTAGTAGTAGCAGTAGCAGTAGCAGTAGTAGTAGCAGCAGCAGTAGTTAGTAGTAGTAATAGTAGTAGTAGAAGTAGTAGCAATAGTAATAGTAATTAATAGTAATAGTAATAGCAATAGTAATAGAGATAGTAGTAGTCGTCGTCGCAGTAGTAGTAGTCGTCAAAAAGGAAATGCTAATAAAAAAAAAGCGGGTGGGGGGCGCAGGGGGGAGGGCGCAGCGCCTCCCCCCGCAATGCGTACCAAGAAAGAAGCACATAGGCACATGTCTCGATGGATATCAATAAAGTTGAAATGAGCCCAAGGAAAGGATGATGCTTATGAAAAAGCAAAAGAATAGTAGGTACAGATGGGAGCCGGTTAAAAAAATAAAAGCGGGTGGGGGGGTGCAGGGGGGAGGGCGCAGCGCCCGCCCCCGCAATGCGTACCAAGAAAGAAGCACATAGGCACATGTCTCGATGGACATCAATAAAGTTGAAATGAGCCCAAGGAAAGGATGATGCTTATGAAAAAACAAAGAAATAGTAAGTATATAGCAAGGGGAGCCGGTTAAAAAAGTAAAAGCGGGTGCGGGGAGCAGGGGGGAGGGCGCAGCGCCTCCCCCCGCAATGCGTACCAAGAAAGAAGCACATAGGCACATGTCTCGATGGATATCAATAAAGTTGAAATGAGCCCAAGGAAAGGATGATGCTTATGAAAAAGCAAAAGAATAGTAGGTACAGATGGGAGCCGGTTAAAAAAATAAAAGCGGGTGGGGGGGTGCAGGGGGGAGGGCGCAGCGCCCGCCCCCGCAATGCGTACCAAGAAAGAAGCACATAGGCACATGTCTCGATGGACATCAATAAAGTTGAAATGAGCACAAGGAAAGGATGATGCTTATGAAAAAACAAAGAAATAGTAAGTCGCTGCCCGTGGTGGCCCCTCCTTCCCTCCTTCCCTCCTTCCCTCCTTCCTTCCTCCCCTCTTTTCCTCCTTCCTTCCTTCCCTCCTTGCCTCCTTCCTTCCCTTCTTCCTTCCTTCCCTCCTTCCTTCCCTCCTTCCCTCCCTCATTTCCTCCTTCCTTCCTTCCTTCCTTCCCTCCTTTCCTCCTTCCTTCCTTCCTTCCTTCCTTCCCTCCTTCCCTCCTTCCCTCCTTCCTTCCTTCCCTCCTTCCCTCCTTCCCTCCTTCCCTCCTTCCCTCCTTCCCTCCCTCCCTCCCTCCCTCCCTCCCTCCTTCCTTCCTTCCTTCCTTCCTTCCGTCCTTCCTTCCTTCCTTCCTTCCTTCCTTCCTTTCCTCCTGTATGGTCATTTATGTTTTTTTGATGCATTTATTTTTTTTGATGCATTTTTATTTTTTTTGATGCATTTTTATTTTTTTTGATGCATTTTTATTTTTTTTTTGATGCGTCTCCCTGTTTTTTTGGTGTTGGTGGAACTTTGTGCCTAGGAACAGTATGATTAGCTGAATTTGTATGAAGAGCGTCAAGGAAAGAGGCCAAAGTGGTTTTATGACAATCAAAGGGGTTCAACATGATTTGAAAGGATGCAATTGTGGATTCTATGATACGGGAAAATTTTAGTATAGTCAAATCACAAGCACAGCCCTCGATGAAGCTAAGCTCTGGGTGGACATATTTCTTCTCCGACAATGGTGGAGATCGTCAAGAGCCACTAGATGCGTTCTTTCAAAAAAATGGCCGGAACAAAAGCAGCGTAAAAAACCGTTGAAACATGTTGAAACAGCGTAAAATACCGTAGGAAATTGCAAAGACAAAACATGTGATTTTAGTATTGTCAGAGTCGCATCTAGAACCACCGTTTCGCACTTGGAACTGGCTTGGTGCTCTTGGATGATCTGATTTTTTTCCACTGCGAGTGGTTAGTTTTCATCAATGAGGTTCCTCCAAGACTGGTTGGGTTTTCCCCGGAAATGTGCGTCGGTCAAAGCTTGAGTCCGCCATACATGGTATTACCTGAAGATGCTGACACGTTTTTCTGTATGTGTGCATTCTCGTTGGAGGTAGCACGAGCATTTTTTCCCTGAAACGGCAGTTTTTCATTGAAACAGCGTAAAATAATTGCATTTCAGAAACCGGTAGAAATTTTGCACAAGTGGATTTTGCATGTATACATACGTACTATAGTTCTTTGTTCCTGGACTGGGGCAATCAAGAAAAATCAGCAGTCCTCCAAAGTTTCAATGGCACCAACCTCCAGCTCTGGCAGAATGACGGTGGTCGGAATGCTCCTGGCAGGGTCCAACATGCTTCAGCCATCACCCCGAAGCACCACTCGTGATGTGAGACTCGCTACGACGCTGCGATTTGGTTTCAAGGTTTGTATGTTCTTCAGCCGTTCAAAGATCCGCACGCAGTGCACACGCTACTTACGCACCCCGACTGCCAAGCACTTACTAAGTTCAAGGAAACCTCGGAACTCCTCCGATGCAAAAAATCCAGTGATTTAAGGTTTATGATCAATTTTTTTTGGATTGAACCCAAAAAACGACTCAAATGCCTGAAAATCATGTTCTAAGAGGATGTAAGAGGTACTGAATATGAAATATGTAATTCACAGTGTTTCACCCACACCTCAGCCATTTCTGTTCACTTTCCCTTTCCTTACCGCTGCACCTATGTGCTTTCTAGGAGGACCTGTATTATTTGATATGTTTGTGTGCATGGTGCATGCATGGACCATCATTTTTGACACATTTTGACAATGTGGGATTGAGAGCATGTGTTTAGCAAAATCCTGTGACCCAAATTACCCGCAAAACGCCCGCAAAAATCCCGCAAACGCGCGCAAATCCAGATTTCTGGTCATTTAGGCTAATTTGAGTCGTTTTGCAAAGGACGCATTTTTGACCATGTTTGAAGGACAATGAGTTCAAATCGCTCTCATGCCCATTCTGTCTGTTTGGGTTTACCAATTAAGCAGCAGGGCTTGCAACCCAGGACTGAACCGCTATGGATTGATAGTTTCCAGATGGGGCAATCATGATGCCCACAACCTGTTTCTCCAAAGATCGCCTTGTTTTCATTCTATGACTTCAAATCGCTGCGTTTTTCTATGAAACGCCTCATTACCTTAAACGCCTAGAATTTTCCATGCAATGGAAGCTTGAGGAATTTAAAGCATGTAGATGATAATGATGGGCAAACGAGTGTAAGATGTGTAAGATTAAAACCTGATAACTGATAAGACATATTTCAAGTATCGATGAAACCTAAGACTGGAAAAGAAAGCAAACAAGTGAAAGACTGTGAAAATTTATGAAAGCTAAAATACCATGAGCAGCCCGGCCTCTGACACGCTACGAACACCTCGAAGATACACCAAATGCGCGATGTGTATTGGCTGGATTGGATTGGATTGGATTGGATTGGATTGGATTGGAGGAGGACGTCAACCTGCTCCTCACCGAAGTGAAGTAGTTAAGACGCCGAAATTGCCAACGCAGAGCCGGAGCTCTTTGCACTGAACAAACCGGAGGGCAAGTTCAAGCCAAGAAAAGTACCACCCATGCAGCTGAAGAAGCAGCAAACGCTCATTCAAACGACCTGTTTTGACGTGGTTCGTGTTCAAGCAAAACTTGCCAGTAGGGAAGAGAACCCTTTAGTTGCGCCTTCCAAGCTTCTCCAGCCCAAACAACTGCCTCTCTGTGTTGTGACAAACAAGTAGCAATCACCTGCCGAAATTGACCTGTAAGATCAGCCGCGCTAGCATCCGCTTTGGCATTGAGCATGCGGCAACGCAAAACATCAAGCCACCCTTCGGGTGGGCGCCATCGAGGAACTTTATTATGCGAGGGAATCCAAGCACAAGAAGAGCCATCAACCAAAAGCATCCTGATATAATGCCAGTATGGAAAAAGATCTCCACCCCACTGACCAAGCCGCATGCCACGATGAAGACGTTGCACAAGAGCTTGGTTGTCAATCAGCAAGCGCACCGCTCTGTTCGCTTCATGGGAAGCCAAGCAGGCTTGAAGAAGTGCACCTCTCTCGCCCGCAGCAGGAGTTTGCTCGAAACCATGCACCAACCCATTGACCGTGGGCCCGAGATGTGCCGCCACAGCCCAGCTGGCACGCTGCCAAAGTTCGCACCCTGGAGCGATTGCGCAACTTCCATCCAAGCCCAAAGTCGGCGTTTGATGTGGGTCAAACTGTTGTAGAAAAGCCACCAGAATGGGGTCGGCCGTCATATCTTCAAATGGAAGAACAGCTGGAGCATCCACAAGAGGAACAAGCAACCGCCTTTCAGTTGGAGTTGTGAGATCACCATGCCAAGGATTTGCCTCGCAGTAGAAAGTGAAATGCTCACGATCAGGAGAGCTCAAACCACAATCACACTGCAAGTCGACTTCCAAACGTTGAGTAACTCTCCCATCCACTGCTGCACCTGTCAAGACTCTGCGACCACAATAGTTCAAATCATGCGCCACATTGGCCTGGAATTGGAACACAGGCAACTTACCTTCAGGTAAAGGACCCTCCGTTTTGGTGTCCTTCATGTGTATTGGCTTGGATTGGATTGGATTGGATTGGAGGAGGACGTCAACCTGCTCCTCACCGAAGTGAAGTAGTTAAGACGCCGAAATTGCCAACGCAGAGCCGGAGCTCTTTGCACTGAACAAACCGGAGGGCAAGTTCAAGCCAAGAAAAGTACCACCCATGCAGCTGAAGAAGCAGCAAACGCTCATTCAAACGACCTGTTTTGACGTGGTTCGTGTTCAAGCAAAACTTGCCAGTAGGGAAGAGAACCCTTTAGTTGCGCCTTCCAAGCTTCTCCAGCCCAAACAACTGCCTCTCTGTGTTGTGACAAACAAGTAGCAATCACCTGCCGAAATTGACCTGTAAGATCAGCCGCGCTAGCATCCGTTTTGGCATTGAGCATGCGGCAACGCAAAACATCAAGCCACCCTTCGGGTGGGCGCCATCGAGGAACTTTATTATGCGAGGGAATCCAAGCACAAGAAGAGCCATCAACCAAAAGCATCCTGATATAATGCCAGTATGGAAAAAGATCTCCACCCCACTGACCAAGCCGCATGCCACGATGAAGACGTTGCACAAGAGCTTGGTTGTCAATCAGCAAGCGCACCGCTCTGTTCGCTTCATGGGAAGCCAAGCAGGCTTGAAGAAGTGCACCTCTCTCGCCCGCAGCAGGAGTTTGCTCGAAACCATGCCCCAACCCATTGACCGTGGGCCCGAGATGTGCCGCCACAGCCCAGCTGGCACGCTGCCAAAGTTCGCACCCTGGAGCGATTGCGCAACTTCCATCCAAGCCCAAAGTCGGCGTTTGATGTGGGTCAAACTGTTGTAGAAAAGCCACCAGAATGGGGTCGGCCGTCATATCTTCAAATGGAAGAACAGCTGGAGCATCCACAAGAGGAACAAGCAACCGCCTTTCAGTTGGAGTTTTGAGATCACCATGCCAAGGATTTGCCTCGCAGTAGAAAGTGAAATGCTCACGATCAGGAGAGCTCAAACCACAATCACACTGCAAGTCGACTTCCAAACGTTGAGTAACTCTCCCATCCACTGCTGCACCTGTCAAGACTCTGCGACCACAATAGTTCAAATCATGCGCCACATTGGCCTGGAATTGGAACACAGGCAACTTACCTTCAGGTAAAGGACCTTCCGTTTTGGTGTCCTTCGTCCACATAAAAGCCAGCCATGCTGCAGCAGCAGCTTTGTATAAGCTTGAAGAAGACATCCACCCTGGTTTCAAAGTCCCCACGGGAGTGATCCACAAACCACCCTCAACACGCCAATTCCAGTCTTTGCAAACAGTATTCCACCTTGGGCCTGGCGAAACAGCGGTGGGCACACCTATGGCCAAGCGGCACTGGCGCTGCCATTCAGCCCGGGCTGCAGCAAAGTGAAGCGCAAAAGCAGGATGCAAACGCGGTGTGCCCAAAGAGTTCCAGAACAGCAATCTACTGCGACCTGGGGCAGGCTTGCGCCCCCAGACCGCCGCTTCAATACTGGAGGTCCAACTCTTGATGGTATCAACATCATAGTGGTGAAAAGCTCCTGTCCATGCAAACAAAGAGATCACCAACTGTCCCAGCAAGGTCTTGCGGGTGCCCAAACGTTTCGCTGCCAACCTGATTTTGCGACACCTCTCCTGAATGTCAAAGGAAAGCTTCTCTGCATTAACACAAGCACCTGCACGCTCCAAATTGTACTGAATACCCAGAAGTGTGAACTTGCTGCAAGGAGCCCCCAACACGTCCTGTATCTGTGACAGCTGAGGCGTCAAATGTTGCTTGGTTGTGAAACTATTTAACTTGTCAGGGTGGAGTTCCATGCCCAGAATTGCATCCACCTGCGCACCTGCCTGCATGGCGTTGGTGACCACGTGAATGCCGTTGACACCTTTCTTCCACATTGTGCGGTCATCCAAATAAACTGCAAGAGAAACACGAGGCTCTTGCAAAAGAACGAAGCGCACCCAGACTACCATCACCGCATTGAGTAAGGCTGGGCTTGCCGGGCAGCCCTGCAGCAGCCCCCGCCGAGCACAAATGGGCTCTGAATGGAAAATGCCTTGCCAGGCAAACCACCTGCGTTGGTCAGTGTAAAAATTTTCCACCATGTCACACAAACTGGCCGGAGCACCCAACCAGCGCCAAATAGCAAGCGCAGTCTTTGGACAAACTGAATCGAAACACCTACGGATATCGGCCTTGCAGCCAACAAAATCAACTCTTGAACGTTTGGCAGCACGAATGTCTTCGTAGAGCACTTCATGAACATCCATAATGCCTCTTCCTGGACGGCCGCCACAAAGCTGAGGCAAGGCCCATTCTTGTATCCATGGTCGGAGCTTTTGCAAAGTTGCACTCATGCAGATGCGCCACAGGACTGTCGTGATGGCAAGTGGGCGCAGGCCCCCGGCCGCCTTTGGAGATGTGTATTGGCTTCCTCTTATTTGGTCCAAGCACATCAGCATCTTTCCAATACCCTCCACTTGTTGGCCAAAGACATGGAAGAAGTCGTTGGTGTCTTGTGTCTGGCCATCCTCCAAAAGCCGGAACTGATTGTTAACGAATAAACACCACCAGATGTAAATGCCCTTTCCATGATCTGTTGCTCCTAAGACCATGCGATGCCTTTGCCACCACCGTGCCAGAGCCTGGATCGGAACAAACCAACATGGTAAAAGAACCAAGAATCCATGGCACCGAGAGAACCAACGAGTTTGACCAACAGAAGAAGCTTCAGATGCGTACTTAAGTTATATTTCAACAGCAAAAGGTGTTCAAAGTTGGAACAAAGTTGCGAATGTCTTCCTAGCACACAGCAGTCTGGTTGGTACTCAAGAACACAAAATGAGAATGTATGATCAAGTCATGACCCTGCAACGTGAAGCGTTGAAAGATGTTGAAAATTGAAATAAATAATTATGCAAGTAATCCCCCTTGCAATTCGGGTCCTCACCCTGACCCCTGAATCTTTAAGGGACCACTAATAGCCTTTTAAAGAATGCGAACCAGAGCAAATTTCAGCCTTAAAGAATCTAACCCCAATGAACCAAGATTGCACACAGTAGCCACACATGTCCGGTTAAGGGATTGGAGACCCAAGTTGCACACGAAGGGGTGCCCCTTTAAAGGATTGGATACCCAAGTCGCAGTCGAATGGACGACGGCGCAGTCAAGCATCATCAATAAGATGCGCATGCAGTCATATGAGAACATATAGACTATAGACTTATTTATTTGTGTCCATATTAGGATTATTAGAATTTATTAGGCATCTTTATAGGTGAATTTTGAAAGCACATCTTTAACATTCTTCAACTCTGGAAGGTGTTTTAACACAAATTCTTGTATTTACAATTCTCCTTGGAATTATCCTGCTCACATGGACTCCAGCATTCTTTAGACAAAAAACGGAGGTCCACCTTGCACTACTGAAATGGCACATCTAAACAATGCCTACCTAGGATGCAAGGGGGTCTAACATCAAAAAAATCATGGCCCAGGCAACCAACTACAACAAATACAAAAAATACACCAAAAAAACAAATACAAAAAGTAAGCATCTAAAAAATAGGGCGTCCATGTTAGCCATGTGGACATCAACAAACATAAAAAACACCAAACGTACCCAAATGATTCCTTTGCACACCGGAGATGAAATTTGCCCTTCTTTTGCCCATGCCAGATTAGCGGCTTCTGTTTTTGTCATGGCAGAAGCTTCTGCCAAAGCGTTGTCTTTGGCTGCCTCCTCTTGTTTCATTTTTCTGGTTTGATCAAAATTGATTGTAAACAACATATCCCCCTTTCTATTCAGTCTTTGACCCGGGTGTCCGGTTCTTTGGTGGAGGGTGCCATTAAAGAATGAAGTCCTGCCTCGGGACACGATGAGTTTTGATGGATCTTCTAGAGACAACTGGTGTTATGCCTGGGGATCTTGGGGATTTCCTGGGGACGTCTGGATATGAGACCTGGACTGGGTTCGAGCTGGTGTTTTGATTCTTTAGAGGCTCAGGCCTGTCGACCCTACAACTTGGGATATTTTGGGGAGGGTGCCACTAAAGAATCAGGTCCTGCCTCCCGACACAGGGAAGGGTGTCCTTAAAGAATCAGGTCCTGCCAAAACACTCTTTTTTTCTGAGCTGGTGTTTTGATTCTTTAGAGGCTCAGGGCGTGTCGACCCTGCAAAACCTGGCAGTTTTTCACAGTTTGGTGTATTTTTTGGGAGGGTGCCATTAAAAAATAAGGTCCTACCTCCGGACACAGTGGGTTTCGATGGTCTTCTAGAGACAATTGGTGTTATGGGGATCTTGGGCATTTCCTGGGGACGTCTGGATATGAGACCTGGACTGGGTTCGAGCTGGTGTTTTGATTCTTTAGAGGCTCAGGCCTGTCGACCCTACAACTTGGGATATTTTGGGGAGGGTGCCACTAAAGAATCAGGTCCTGCCTCCCGACACAGGGAAGGGTGTCCTTAAAGAATCAGGTCCTGCCAAAACACTCTTTTTTTCTGAGCTGGTGTTTTGATTCTTTAGAGGCTCAGGGCGTGTCGACCCTGCAAAACCTGGCAGTTTTTCACAGTTTGGTGTATTTTTTGGGAGGGTGCCATTAAAAAATAAGGTCCTACCTCCGGACACAGTGGGTTTCGATGGATCTTCTAGAGACAATTGGTGTTATGCCTGTGGATCTTGGGGATTTCCGGGGACGTCTGGATATGAGAACTGGACTGGGTTCGAGCTGGAGTCTGATTCTTTAGAGGTATACCCTGCAAAACGATAAACATTTGTATAAATCAATATATGCAATTTGCTGCTTTTATCATATCTAGTGTCAGTTTGGTTGCGTTTATTGAGCCATGTCTTGGCCAGCACTTTAAACATTGACAAACTCAACTTAGGGTTCCAAATCAAGGGGGAACTGATAACCCGGGTTGACTTATGTTTTAGCCAGGGAAAATCCAAGAGGGATAACACCATATGATTTTCAAACGCTCTGTTTTCAAACGCCCATAAATGTGCAATAGTCTGGCGTCCCTGAAGAATGTCCTTGTTGAAAAATCAGTTGAAATGTGTTGTCAATGTTGAAACTTGTTTGGCTCATCTGCGATACAAACGATGGCCGGCGCACAACAGCAGCTTTAGCAAATCGCAAAAAATCAAAGAGCTTGTCTATTGCCCCTCAAAATGCGCTCTCTTAAAAATCATGACCTAGGAAGCCTTTGCAAAAAATGGGGGCTCCGGGTTAGCCATGTGGAAAAATCATCTGTTTTTGCATTTAAAAAAAAATACTTTACTTCGTGTGATCCTCACCATGACATTTATACATTTTCTTACTGGCAAATCTTCTGGCATTCTATCTGACATATCTTCTGACATTCTATTTGGCATTCTATCTGGCATATCTTCTGGCATATGATCTGGCATATCTTCTGGCATATCTTCTGTCATTCTATCTGGCATATCTTCTGGCATTCTATCTGGCATATCTTCTGGCATTCTATCTGACATATCTTCTGGCATTCTATCTGGCATTCTATCTGGCATATCTTCTGGCATTTCTTCTGGCATATCTATCTGGCATATCTTCTGGCATATTTTCTGGCATTCTATCTTCTGGCATTCTATCTGGCATATCTTCTGGCATTCTATCTGGCATATCTTCTGGCATTCTATCTGGCATATCTTCTGGCATTCTATCTGACATATCTTCTGGCATTCTATCTGACATATCTTCTGGCATTCTATCTGGCATATCTTCTGGCATTTTCTTGTGGCATTCTATCTGGCAAATCTTCTGGCATATGTTCTGGCATATATTCTGACATATCTCTGGCATTCTATCTGGCATTCTATCTGGCAAATCTTCTGGCATTCTATCTGGCATATCTTCTGGCATTCTATCTGACATATCTTCTGGCATATCTTCTGGCATATCTTCTGGCATTCTATCTGGCAAATCTTCTGGCATTCTATCTGGCATGGATACTCGCGGTTGAGGTCCGGCAGGGAACACTGGGCGCGGATGGTCGTGGTTGAGGTCCGGCAGGGAACACTGGGCGCGGATGGTCGTGGTTGAGGTCCGGCAGGGAACACTGGGCGTGGATGGTCGTGGTTGAGGTCCGGCAGCGAACACTGTGGATCGCGAGTCGCAGTTGAGCAGGAGGGCGAGGAGGACAACGAGACGAGGAGGACAACGAGAGGAGGAGGACAACGAGAGGAGGAGGACGACGAGAGGAGGAGGAGAGGAGGAGGAGGAGAGGAGGAGGAGGAGGAGAAGGCAACTTAGATAAAATCTAACAACCCTCACCTGGCAGGTGGGGAAAAACGTTTTTTGCGACAACCCGGGTTGTTGCATTTTTGTAGTGGAAATTCCAAGGGGGATCATTTACATGCATTCACTCATCACGTTTTCATCTTCCATCTCACCTTCACGTCTTCTGCTTGTGAGCATCTGTTCAAGCGGCAGGCAAGTTGGTTTTCATTTGACACACAATCCCAAAAAACATTGATGAACATATCAAAAAACAAGTTCCTAGAATCTTCCTGGGAAGGCCTCTTAGAGAATAGGAGACCGTCAAAACAACAGTATACATCTTAAAAAATGAAACTGAATTTTTTGCCGGCCAAACTGTCCTTTAAAAAATACAGTTTTTTAAAGACCTCACGTCCTCAAGTCTTTAGGCTAAATTCCCAGGAGGATTGCAAGTACAAGTATTTCCCTATTAGTACTGCAAGTACTGTTGTAGCTGGATCAGTCTGGAAGAAAAGACGGGGACTCCTCTTCGAATTTGTCTCAATGGAACAGAACCTTGCAGAAACCTATCGGGAACTTGCCAAGCACCCAAAGCCTAAGCTTTTGGGGTAAAAGCACGAACAGTGTGAGATTCACCCAGAAAGAACCGGGCCTTCAGCACAGTAGTGAATTTGTAGTTCCAGACCCAGGAGAGGAACCAAGTCGCCTTTGCGCTGTTGCATTCCGTTTCCAGTGCGTCGACAAGGCTGCAATCTGCCAACCCATCACGTGGGCAGCACAGACCCTTGCCCAAAGCCCATGGTCCATAAGCCAACAGCGCCGCTACCTGATGAAAGTTTGGGTCTTCTGGGCGATCACAAATAGACAGCGTAGGCCAGGCAGACTCGGGATCAACTGCATCTCCACAGTTGCGGACCCTCACCAAGAAACCGCTCTGTGTCGTTGGGCCCCAAACATCCACTCGCCACTCGGCCTGCTGTGCCTTCTCCTTGTAGGTATCCTCCAGCTTGCTGAAGACGTAGTCGAGAGAGACACCCAGCTGCAAAGATCGCGACTTCACCTCAGCCTTGCGAAGCGCAAGCAGCTTGCAGGCTCTATGCTGCCAAAGGCCATATTCCAGTGGTCTGGCCTGTGTGGTATGCAAATCCTTCCAATTCCTTGCGGCAACAAGTTTCTTGAGTCGCCTTTTGAGACATTCAACGCGCAACCTTCCGAAGATCGCCAGTACAAACACTGCCAAGAGGATAGATGCAAACAGAAAGAGCACCGTATAGACTGGGGTACACAAATTCTCGTCGCCCGTCAAGATCAAAGCTGGAAAGAAACACTTCCTGCAAGACTCATCTCCTTCAAATGCGTAGGTTGGACCCGTGCACTCCTCACAAGTATTCGTCTGTCTGTTTGGGACAGAGCCTTCAGGACAAGGTGTACATGTCTCAGGGTTGTCTCGAGATGAGACAGTGCCAGAAGCGCAAGGAACACAGCTGGTGCGGTTCAGTGGCACATGCCCATCTGGGCAAAAAGAACATTCCTCGTTGCCTGAGAAATTCTTGAATTTGCCAGATTCGCAAGGTGCACAAACTTCCCACTGAGAATACTTTTCGGTAGCCCTATCCACTTTTGCATGTCTGTCCAAGTGCTCTCCAGCTGGGCACTGCCCCTCTTGGCAGCCATGCCCAAAAAAAGGCTGCGAACATGTGCATTGGCCAGTTCCTCTAGCAGAAGTCACTTCGAAGCCGGTCAGATTCTTCGCAAGCCTTTTGTTTCTTGCATCTGCATCATCTTCACAAACACCTGGCCAAACAAGCAAACACCAAGAGGTACATAAAAAAGAAAGTACATTCATGGTAGTTGACTTTAAGTATGACCCGATGGTATGCAATAATCATGGTAGCCAAAAAAATGCTTTTGGACTCTTCTGGTCGCTTCCTCAACCCTCCCTCGCCTCTCCGGCTGCAAGTACTTGCCAGTTCATTATGGCCAGGACATGGCCTACATTTGCCCTTCTCACGGACATAGAAGTTGCCGCAAAGGCTGCAGTCTTGTCCTTCTGCGCCAGCATCACATGTGCACGTCGAGGTCCGCTGATTACAGACTCCAGATTTGCAGTATGAGGCAGAGGGCTTGCAAACGCCGCGCTGAAAGAATCGCACCTTGTCTAATCCTGTGATCACCAAGTCCATGTCATCATCGCCATCCCAATCTACGAAGCGAGGCATGAGGACACCCGAAGGGGAAATTTTAATGGACAAGTCAGCAAAAGGCGTCTCCTCAACGTGCTGAAAGGTACCATTCTGCTGCCTAAAATACTGCAGTTTTCCTCGCGCGGTCTGTCTGTTTGCACAAAAACATTGAACATAAGAATCCGCAAGACACTGGAGAGAGCAGCGGCAAAACCCAATAGAAAAACAAAGAATGGCTGAATAGCGACACGTTACCATTGAAGCTTCCAAAGACTAATTCCAAGACATCATCTTTATCAAGGTCCACGAAGGTAGGGCATACCGAATCGTTTCTCAACTGCAAGTAGATATCGTGGAAAGGACTTGCCGATCCTGTGACTTCTTGGAAACTCATGCCAGCATTGAGATACAAGCGCATCCGGCGATACAAGTTCTTCTTAACCCATGCCACACGCTCGGCCCGGCTGGTCCCATTGCGCAACATTTCAACAATGACTGTTCCTACCCAGGCTTGGTGCAGCAAGACTTCATAAAAAGTATTCCCTCCAGGCAGATAGGCTTGCACCAAATCAAGGTCTCCATCTCTATCCCAATCCACAAAAGTCGAGCATGTTGTTTCTCCGTCTTGGATCCCCCTAAACGGGTGATCAGGGTCAGAGGGATTCAAGTGTGTGAAATGACCGCCATCATTTCGTGTGTACTGCAGATCTCCATGGACTATGTCCAAATCTCCATCACCATCGAGATCCACAATTAGTTGCTGTCCAGCTAAGGACGATTGTCTATTTCTATTGCTATTTGTTGTGTTGTAGGCAACCTTGTCAAATGGATTCGCTTCACCCAGCTGTTCTACCAGCAATCCACTGGCTCCAGACTTGAAATAACCGTATGTTGCATACCCTCTCATAATTCCCAAGAGGTAGGACTGCGGCGGCACGACTACGTCCAACCTCCCATCATCATTCACATCGACGAGACTCACCCGTGATGCTTTGGAGAACCGAAACTTTCCGAATGGACTTTCCTTTTCAATCACTTCGACAAAACTTTCCATCGGTCGACTGGTCCACAACGTCACTTTGAAAGCATCCATCACAACCAGATCTTTCTCACCATCTCCATCCCAGTCCCCCAACGAAGCATGAAGGCCATTGCCTTGCATGGGGAAATCAGACGTTCCCTGGCACATACCGTTGAAAGGGTTGTCAGAGCCAAACAACTGCTCAAGGCTCCCGTCACCACGTCGCTCAAAATACAAACAGCTGTCTGAGTTGGGTGGGATAATCATGATGTCAACATCACCGTCTCCATCAAAATCTGCAGCTGAAAAGTCGTGCGCTGAGGGAAGGGGGAGAGGATGAGCGAAAACTGTGCCATTGGACAGCTGCTCATACAAATAGACCTGCAAGGGCGCCCAAACAACACTTTGAAACACAATTGCTGGGCGTACCTGGGGGTGTTTTTTTTACACCTTAAGATTGCGCTTGCTATAGCATGCCTTGACCAGATCCAAATTCAAAATCGCAAAACAACTGTTGGACTTCGCACACAATTCTAGTTGGCGCATACCACCGAAAACAATGTAGTACTTTCAGAAAATGCCTTCAACAAATGGATAGCCTTGTGTTTGCATTTCTGTTTCGAGTGGAAACAAGACCCGAATGCCTTGTCTGCCAGATTCTTTCTGAGCACGTCCACGTCCCCATCACCATCCCAGTCTAGAAAGGCTGGAAAATTATCAACGCCACTCCAAGGGAACTGGGAGAAATCTGTCAAGCATTGCGGGCAGTGGGATGGGTAGTTGAAAGGGATCTTCTCAGGCTCTAGCACTACAAAACCAGAAGAAGTCTGAAGACAAACAACAGTTTCTACTCCGTCGAAACCCACGAGGTCCTTCTTTCCGTCTCCGTCAAAATCAGCCATGCTGAAATCTTGGCCCCAATTGATCGGGCACGAGTTGTTTGGCGGCCCGTTCAGCTCTGTGACAGTGTTGTCTGGGAGGTGAACAAAGTAACGGTTCTTTTCAGGATGATTTTCTCCTTGTAGATGAAGCAAAGCAAGATCAAGGTCACCATCCAAATCCCAGTCTGCAAGGACTGGGTGCAGGAAATGAATTTGATTACGCTTACTCTCTGACTCCAGTTGAATCATGTCGAGTGGGATCGAATTCGACGGGAATTCGTTTGGCTTGACGAGGCCTGCAGAAGTGCGCTTATAGACATGCAATGGCCCCAGGAACGATCCAAAGATTGCATCCAAATGACCATCCCCGTCCACATCCACAAGTGATGCACCAGAGCCATCAAATGAACTGCACCCCTTGTTCTGGAAAAACGGTTCGTCTTTGAACACCAACATTGTCTTTCCGCCAGTCTTGTGTTGTTCATACAAATAGGAAGTGCAGTGAGACTGCTGAGAAATATTCAACGTGGCCCTGCCAAGGAACTTTGCCAACAACAGTAAGTCCATGTTTCCATCTCCATTCCAGTCTGCCATGATAGGTCTATGTGTGACTGTTTGATTCGCAATTTCAAAGAACGGGCTACTGTATTCTGATCTGTTCGGACCCTCTCGAAGCACAAGCTGGCCTTGGGATTGCTCAAAGTATTGCATTGGCCTCAAGGGATCAGATAGAAGAAAGTCCAAGTCGCCATCACCATCCCAGTCTGCGACGGAGACGTCGGAACAATATCCCTTCTGCGTCCGTATGTGTTCAAAGGGGTTCTCCGCTCCTATTCTCTGATGAAGTTTGTAGCCTAGCCCCTTCTGATAGTATCTGATTCCGTCCTGGCCAGGAAAAACACAATCGGAGCAAAAGCGCGATCAGTACAAGAGGGTCATTCCTGCTTTTCACAGGTCACATCTCCTGTTGCAACAAAAACAAAACAATGTCAAATGCCAACCAGTTCGGGCGCACTATCTTGCAAACCAAAGCTGGCCTGAACACGTCTGAGCCTTCCAAACATTTAACATCGACCTATAAATATAATGTGTTTTTTTGTTTTTTTTTGTGTGTGTGTGTAGAAAAATCATATCATTATTATAATAATATATATATACCAGGACCCTCCAAAGGGTCTCTAATAGGCACCCCTTAGCTAGGGTCACCATTAATCGCCCCTTAGATTTACAAATTAATTATTCCTAGATTCTTGTGATATGAATGGAAATCACCAAGTATGATATTGAATCAACTAGACATGTCACCTCTCCCATTGACCAGTGCTTTGCCAACACACACCGCTCAGAGGCATCTCCGCAGCCTGGGGTGGCTTGAGGGTGTGGCAATTGTCGCGCAATGGTTTTTCATGAGATGTGGTTAAAAAAACATGTTAATATCTTCCGAACTTGAGGGTATTGGCCCATGATGATTTCATGACATGAACCAAGTACTGCTCGTCCAGTGGCGCTTCGTACAGCCATGGGGAAATGGTCTTCGATGAATGCTGCTGGGAAGATCCTCAACTTTATTCAATAATCAAATACAACGCAAATCCTGCAGCTACTCTTTCACAAAATTTGTTGATCATTTCAATCTAAGGTCGCTTTATCAAGAGATGCTCTCTCGGATGCCAACAAATATCTCTTTGGATGATGATCTGGTACCAGGAGGTGATATCAGAATCAGGGGAAATTCATGGCTACGTTCAGCTTTTAAGGCCACCAAGCTGGAATCTGTTCCTCGGGAAACTCAGTTTAGGTTGGCTGTTGGTAAAATCATGGCCAAACGCAAAGTGGGACCTTGGGATTAAATTCGTCAGTTTTTGTTTCAAAACATGTTTGTGGATGGGATCTTACTTTGTCCTTAAAACATCTTTAAACCATTGGTGTCACTGGAATCTGCAAACACATCATCCCAGGAATTCACTTGTCTGACGAAGCCCGTGAAGATTGGATTCGTCAGCAGGTTGGCAAATTTTGTATATGTGTGATATGATATGTGCGAAACATTTTGGGACTATGACCAGTTATCATCAATTTATCTATCAAGGTACACCCTTGGTCCCAGGCTTGGAAATGCCATGATATCCTGCTGAAGCATGCAAAAGCTGGGCGAAAGGGTGTTGTTTATACATCACCGGTGGCTCCAAAGAAGTTGCTGGGGCTTCTTGGTATTATAAAGTGGTACAATGTGCATCTTTAAGGTATGGTGTTAAATTGACATCATCCCCAACTCCACAGGTCCAGCGATGATGTTACCGACACCATCCCGATGGATTTCAACGAAATTCCACAGCTTGATATGGACGATATGATACTTAGCTGGAAAATATTCAAACTCAAATTTGTTGAACTTCAGTGGTTAAGGGATAATCTCCTGCATGTTGCAACCCCAGGAAGTGTACCTCTGCTGCTGTGGCATCTCGTGATCCCTGTGGAACTGTAAAGCCACGCAATACCAATGAGGACTGGTTTTCCATGATCGCTCACATCCACATTCCATGGTTCACGTTAATTATATTAAGTTAATTTCCTTATATTATTTACCTCTAATTGTTCAGTTGCCCCCTATGTCCTGCCACTTTACACCATATCATTTCAGTCCAGTGCCTTTCAGGACGAAGAAGAGGCAGAAGAGAAGGAAGACGAGAAGGACAGTGACGAAGAAGATGAGGAGACGAGCAACAGTCTACTCAGTTGGGACACGTTGAGTATAGTATCCTCAATAGTTAGAGTACTTCCATTCCAAGAAAGTGCAATCCAAATCATCCAGGGACCCATGATACATATTCCAATGTGCCCCTGGCACAGGACCCGAAGCAAAAGGCAAAAGAAGGTGAGGATTCAAGCTCAGACCTTGAAAGCGAAGATGAGGTTGAGAAGAAGGATCCAAAGACAGAGGAGGCCTTCGAAGCTGAGGAGGATTCAGAAGATGAAAGCGAAGATGAGGAGGTGAAGAAGGAGTCAAAGACAGACAAGAAGGCACCAAAGGCAGAAGACTCAGAGGATGAAGAGGAAAGCAAGGATGAGGCGGAGAAGAAGGATCCAAAGATGGAGCAGGCATCGGAAGTTGAGGAGGAGTCAGAAGATGAAGAAGAGAGCAGTGATGAGGCAGAGAAGATGGAAGGCCAGAAAAATGATGACAACGTCAAAGCAGAGGAGCCTGCAAACACTGCAGAAGAGATGAAAAAGACTGAGAAAGATGAAGAGGATTCGAGCTCAGACCCTGGAAGCGAAGATGAGGTTGAGAAGAAGGATCCAAAGACAGAAAAGGTGGTTGAAGCTGAGGAGGATTCAGAAGACGAAAGCGAAGAAGAGGAGGTGAAGAAGGAGTCAAAGACAGAAGAGAAGGCACCAAAGGCAGAAGACTCAGAGGATGAAGAGGAAAGCAAGGATGAGGCGGAGAAGAAGGATCAAAAGAAGGAGCAGGCATCGGAAGTTGAGGAGGAGTCAGAAGATGAAGAAGAGAGCAGTGATGAGGCAGAGAAGATGGAAGGCCAGAAAAATGACGACAACGTCAAAGCAGAGGAGCCTGCAAACACTGCAGAGGAGATGAAAAAGACTGAGAAAGATGAAGAGGATTCGAGCTCAGACCCTGAAAGCGAAGATGAGGTTGAGAAGAAGGATCCAAAGACAGAGGAGGCGTTCGAAGCTGAGGAGGATTCAGAAGACGAAAGCGAAGGTGAGGAGGTGAAGAAGGAGTCAAAGACAGAAGAGAAGGCACCAAAGGCAGAGGACTCAGAGGATGAAGAAAGTGAAGATGAGGTGGGGAAGATAGAAGACACCAAAGAGGAGCCTGCAAAGACCGCAGAGGAGATGACAAAGACTGAGAAAGATGAAGAGGATTCGAGCTCAGACCCTGGAAGCGAAGATGAGGTTGAGAAGAAGGATCCAAAGACAGAAAAGGTGGTTGAAGCTGAGGAGGATTCAGAAGACGAAAGCGAAGAAGAGGAGGTGAAGAAGGAGTCAAAGACAGAAGAGAAGGCACCAAAGGCAGAAGACTCAGAGGATGAAGAGGAAAGCAAGGATGAGGCGGAGAAGAAGGATCAAAAGAAGGAGCAGGCATCGGAAGTTGAGGAGGAGTCAGAAGATGAAGAAGAGAGCAGTGATGAGGCAGAGAAGATGGAAGGCCAGAAAAATGACGACAACGTCAAAGCAGAGGAGCCTGCAAACACTGCAGAGGAGATGAAAAAGACTGAGAAAGATGAAGAGGATTCGAGCTCAGAGCCTGAAAGCGAAGATGAGGTTGAGAAGAAGGATCCAAAGACAGATGAGGCAAAAGATGTCCCGAAAGTTAAGCAGGAGTCGAAGGACGAAGAAGGCAGCAGTGATGAGATAGAGAAGATCAAAAGTGAGAAAGAGGATGTGAAGGTGAAAACAGAAGGTGGCGAGAATGCAAAGACAATGGCCAAGAATGAGAAAAATGATGAGTCGAGCTCAGAGGAGGACTCATCAGGCAGCTCAAGCAGCAGCGACAGTGACAGCAGTTGCAACAGCAGTGACAGTGGCAACGACCTGGACAGTGAAGAACAAGAGGAAGGAAGAAAGACCGAGCAAACAGCTGTTGAACAAGCTGCACAGGAGGCTGGGACACTGGCCGAGTTTGATGGGGTAGGTATGTGCAACTATTGGCGATTTTGTCATGGTATGCACCAAGACCAAACAACAACTGAAGCTTTAACCACAGTGGAGACAAGACAGCATGACAAGGGTTTGAAACGAATTGACCTTTGGGCCAACCTTTGTCAAAAGATCTGGCAGACGAAGTGCGACAAGAAGAGAAAAAACAATAGTGATGATGACATCGAGAAGGCACTGGAAAAGGATGAGAATAAAGTGACCGAACCTTCACTCCCAATGAGAAGGCTCCGAACGAAAACATCAAGTTTTTTGGTTGCACTATGCCATCAAAAATGGTGTCGACAATGTTGAGGGTTGCTATATATAGTATGGATCCATTACTATATAATATAGAGTACTATCGACAATGTTGGTGGTAAATTTGGGGATTACAGGGATTACTATATCATATATATTATATATGGATTACTTATCCACTTGCGTCCCCCCAAAGATTCCCAGGTATCAACGTGGAAGGCACTCCTGTTCCCAGTGCAGCCTCGGCTGCTGTTGGAGCTGATGGTGAGCAGGCTGACCAGGCCTGCCAGTGGTATAGGGAATCTTGGTTGGGTTTTTAACGACCAATCAATGAACATTTGATGATTTAGTATTTAATCTATTTCAATATGTGTTGACATCCATCTTCTTTGTCCCAAAAGTCTCAAAGGGTTGTACTCAGCCCCTGTGGGTCTTCTATAATGCACCACAATTTAACCATGAATGCTTCGCAGGTTGAACCAAAGGTGAAAAGACGAGGAAAGGTGGCAGAGACCACAGTGATCAAAGAAAATTTTAAGGACTTTGCTGAGAATTCTTTCAAGATTACCATCAATCGCATTCAGCAGTTGACTTTGCAAAAAGTGGGCATGAAACTTCCCACGCCAAAAGAACAGCTAGAGATGGTGAACAAACGAAGAGAGGCTAAGAAATCAAGAACTGGAGCTGCGAGCCATAGCTAAAATTCTGTGCATATCATAAACCATTATCATGTACAATAATGATTTGGGATGGTTTGAATCATTGCAACCAAAAAAATCACAATGGGTTAACTAAGGAGATTCGATATCATCAGCCGGCTTGACAACCTGCAGGACGGCTGGATTGTGGAAGTTCGACGCAGAATTTCTGGAAAAGCAGCTGGCCAGTTGTACAAGCTATACATATCTCCCAAAGGTGCTCAGATATGGACAAAGACCCTTAGATGTGAAGCAAAGATCATCGTGTGTTATTTCAATGAAGCCTGAATGGAAAACAACTTCAACACAATGTTTAAACATTGTTATTTCAGATAGAAAAATATGTTATTATCAACCAACCTGATCTAAGGACTGGTGCAGAAGCTGCTGGCTTCAAGGACTCTGCCCGGCTTGCTGAGTTAGTCAAATCGATCCCCAAAGTTTCCAAGGGGGGTGGTGCATCTGATGATGGTTCCAAGCCCAAAAAGGGCAAGACACCCGGAAAGAAGAAACTGACCAAAAAGAATATGCTTAAGCCCTAGCCCAGGAAAGCATTTGAGTTTCAGTTCATGCCGATGGCAATGTCAACATAATATTATTCAATGTTCATTGTCTTATTTTCAACATAATATTATTCAATGTTCATTGTCTTATTTTCAACATAATATTATTCAATGTTCATTGTCTGATTTCATAGTAGAGCTCAACGGATTTACTTAAGCCTCGGTATGCCTTTTAATTAACATGTCTGATTGATACAATCAGCTGAGACCACCAGCTACTGCAGTTGGTGCTGTTCGTGTGTGAACATGATCGAACATGGTCAAGCCTCGGTCGTGCCCAGAGAAATTTGCTGCAGCAAGAGCCTTGCCAGTTGCAACGCTGGAGCTGTGGTATGCTGGGGCAATATTGGACAATTGTTGGAACATAATAATGATAAATTGATCATTTTCATGAAGGTCATGTCTTGGGGACATGGACGGGTGTGTCAAAAAAACGCTTGTCAGTTGCTATGGCCCAAAGGTAGCAGCTGCACTAGTTCAGCCATGAACCCCAAGTCTTTGCTGCCGATCTTGCTTTGGATCAACCAGATCCCTTTGCCCAAGCAAGACGAAGCTAATGATTTCGTTCATTGACTGCATTTCGTGTTATATATTGTTATCCTATCATGTCCTATCACCAATCTATTTCTGCAATGTTAATTGGGTTACATAAAAACTATCACGATTTATAATTTATATAATAAAAAAATGTATCCATAGCCAATCCCGTCCAGGGTTTCCTGCTAGAGTTGATTGGCCTTTTGAGGTCGAGCTGTGCAGTGGTGATGGGCACCTGACGCGAGGGCTTTGGTCCCAGGGCTACCATGGAAAAGCCTTCGATGAAACTTGGCAAAGCATCTTTCGAACTCATCAAGAACATGTTTAGATATGTTGACATTTCCAAAGTTCAAATCCATTGACATATATTGACATGAGGTAATCTACAGCAAAAATCATAACCTGATGCGAACGGTGGGATTCGTGTCAGTGTTGGCTGCTGCAACTCAACCGCATTCTGTGGAATATGTGTGCCATATTTTGCACAAATTAGCTCATCAAAGTATGCAAACCATATGGGCCCCCAAGGTGAGAAATACAAAACGAGGGGGGCTACTTTTCTGTGCACCACCTTGTGGAACATGGGTGTTCATGTAGCTTGCCTGCAGTGGATGTACTTTTGAATAAAAATTGAATGCAATGTACTGACAACATAAGGTCATCAGCGTCTACAGGCCGTACATGGTTGTCCCCTGATGGTTTCGCAACGAAATGTGTTTTGCTGGCCAACATATTTTGCATGAGAATGCTCTACATGCCCCTAGACTGCACTATCATGATCAAGGTGAAATTGAAAGGATTATATATATCGAACATGGTTTCTCTTTTGTTTCACCTCTGCAACCGAGACTTTGGTATGCATGGCAGCGTGGAGTACACATTTGTATCGAGCAACCAATGACATCAGTGCCTTGGAATTATTTACACTATTGAGTTACCTTTGCAACCTCAATTCTTACACTAAGTTGTAAAACTCAATCCCTATATATTATGATCCAGTTGTTTTTCAATACATCATCCCGTGTGTTGATCCTAGGTGCTTTTTGCGTGGGCACCAATGCGACGATTCCTAATGCACATCCGTGCCAGGACATAGGGGGGCATCCACAAGAGTGACGTTGGCAATTGACATCAACAGCAAGCATTCTGGTCCACCCTGCAGGAAAGTAACATTCCCAATGGGAGCATATGGCTCACTTACACTAAAATATACAACGTTTCTTGTTTGCACATGCATGTGTTCTTCACAATTATCTTGACATAGGGTCTGAATTGATGTATCATGTTTCCATCCCAGGTTGTGGGGCACGCTCCCAGAGCTGTCGAGCCTGTGGCGCCCGCTGGATACAAAGCTCTTGATGGCAGCCCTAGCAAGGAGACACCGCATGGGTATCACTGGGTGATTGGACATAGGGGTTGATATATTATTTCAACCTATCCATGGTCGATATATTAATCGAATATAATCGAATATTAATCGATAAATGCTTTCTGGTCCCTGTGCTTTGCATCTGCTGTGTATCATCCAAAGTTTCAAACTTCTCGTTTCTGAAGTAAGAATGATGCTCGCAGCTGTTGGGGGATATACAACTCCGAAAATGAGGATATCCAGAAAAAATACATTTTAGTATATGGAAAATTATAATAACCAATCACAATGTGCATATCCCATTTTCTGCCAGACCCAAAAGGCATTCAGCATTGTAGACAGTTTTGGAATTTCCCAGGGGAGCATCTTTGGAGTAAAACCAGATTTTGTCTACGACTCATATGACTATCTCACCCAATGTTCTTTGCAGAATGTTCATTATGTCTTTTCCTGGATTTAGTTATGATGTAATCTACTTATTTTAAAGTAATATTGGAAGATGATTGATTTTCTGTTGTGTTTGTCAACCCTGGAGAAACGGCGTTGGTGGATTGGTACGCAAGAGTGTGGACAAGACTGGCCAAAAACGAGTCGCTACTTGGATCTAAGGGGTGTGGGCGCACAGCTCTCGAACTGCAAAATTACAATCATACCCCAATAGATTATATCAACTGACCCATTCAATTCGACATCGATTTAATCCAAATTGTGGTGTCTTGATTAAAATCCTTTTTGATGTTCTTGTAGTCTGGTTTGTGTTATTCAATATGTATTCTCCCATGGTTTCCAAATGATTTCAATCTGAATTGAAACACATTGTTACCAGTCGGTTCCAAACCCATCATGTCATCATGTCATCAGGTCCACCACCCCTGCTGCACCAAACTAAGACTGGCGTTAAGAAGAAGTTGGCAGCGAGCGCTTCATATCCCAGGGGGTTTGGAGTAGCAATTGGCTCTATCTTACCTCCCCGTGGAACTCGGCCTGATTCCGATGAGATTAGCTTAGATTACACTGCCAGTGACTCCAATGATATGGGGGCACTGGATGACTTGCTGAAAGGGAGCAAGTCGACTTGGTGGAGGGATCTATAGTCTCTTGACCAATGGATGATGGGTGAATTTGATTAAGTACAATCATCGATCTAGATTGATGTATTTACCATTCAAACTATAACCAAAGTAATACACCCATTGTCGAATAATTACCTTGCAGTCAGCATACATGTACAGCTGTCGGTCTGAAAAGAAGGCTGAGAACTCATTTGAAAGTCATTGCAATTGTGAAAGCTGATTTTGACATACATTTAATGTAGGGCTATAAGAACAAATCAATTTACCCAAAGAATTCTGGCCATTGATATGCCTACTTGATTGGGAATGTGGTTATACAGGATGTCCGTTTGCCATATGACATGTTCTGATTATGTATCCTATGGCAGTTGGCTTATCGCAGTTAGATCAGATCAGTAGTCCCGGGTACAGGGGAAGATGCCGAAGTGTCCAAGAGGCCTTGAGGATTATGTGGCAGAACTTGAGCTAGCCAAACATGACCGGATCTGTCTTAGCTGCTGGATGGAAATCATTGCTGAATGGCTTGACACGGAAAAGACCCTTAGCTATACTCGTTTACGATGATCATGTTTGTTTGCTTCCCTAAGCTATCATAGCCTCGCCCATTCTTATGTGCTTATCCCAGGAAAGATGATGTTCGACTTCGTGCTATTTGCAAAGACTGCCAATGTGAAGATATCTCGGTAGCCTCCTGGCAAAATGAGAAGGATACCCAGGCCATGCAATGATCGAAGTACCATTTAATGGTGTCACCTTTTGTAAGTAATTAGATGGTCGTGGTTTGGGTCCTGGGGTGGAATCAAATTGGTTTAAACATGTCATCAACAATTAAACAGTTTCTCTATTCTTCAACAACCCCAAGGGGATACGAATCAACCAGGACCTGCTGACCACTGGCCCCAAAATTTGAGCTCCCTGACCTGAATCGGGAAACTTTCAGAATTGCCTGCCAGGGATAAAAATTGGGAGGACACGCACAGTTCTGTGCGTGTCAATGCGTGTCATTTGCGTGTCAGTGGTTTCAGAGGGGGTGCCCATTAGTAACCCCTTAGAGCCATTTGTGACCCCTTAGAAACGTGTCGGGTGGATTTCATGGTTGAAAAAACGTGTCATTTGCGTGTCGATTTTGATGGACATTTGTACAAACAGTGGAAAAACACAAAATTCAAAAAATATAACATCTTGGCTTAAGGGTAAATTTGTGGCGTCGAGTTTCCAAAGGCTAATAGGAATGGCTGTTACAAAGGGAGACCGGATGCGAAAGAAGAAGGCGACTGTGGAACCTACAGAGGCGTTCAAAGCTTTTGAGAGGGCGAGACAGGAGGCCATAGAAGCTGTGGCAGAAGACGAGTTGAACAACAAATTGAAGAAGCAAAGAATGGCTGAACTGGAGAGCTTGAGAAGGAAACTGCAGAAGTCTGAAGAAAAGAATAGTACAACATCGGATGATTCTACAACAACACCAGGTGAGATGACGACTCCCAGCAATGAGAGTTCAGATGAAACAATGTCAAAGAAGAATGAGCCAGAACAGCAGGATGCAAAGCAGGAGAAACCCAAGAAGAAGAGTACAGGACAGAAGCAGCCTGCTGCATCGAAGACAATCCCTGGTGACAAGACCACCACCAGCCCATTGAGTGCACATGCATCTGCAGACCAGACAGAGGCCAACAAGAAGTCCAAGGAGAAGGCAGAGGAAAAGCAGCAGAAACGCAAGGAGAAGCAGGCGAAGATCGAAGATGTGAAGCCAACAGAAGCGAAAGAGCCAAAGCAGAAGGATGCAGAAGAGGAGAAACCCAAGAAGAAGAGCAAAGGACAGAAGCAGCCTGCTGATTCCACCCCAGGTGACAAGACCACCACCAGCCCCTTGAGCTCACATGCATCTGCAGACCAGACAGAGGCCAACAAGAAGTCCAAGGAGAAGGCAGAGGAAAAGCAGCAGAAACGCAAGGAGAAGCAGGCGAAGATCGAAGATGTGAAGCCAACAGAAGCGAAAGAGCCAAAGCAGAAGGATGCAGAAGAGGAGAAACCCAAGAAGAAGAGCAAAGGACAGAAGCAGCCTGCTGATTCCACCCCAGGTGACAAGACCACCACCAGCCCCTTGAGCTCACATGCATCTGCAGACCAGACAGAGGCCAACAAGAAGTCCAAGGAGAAGGCAGAGGAAAAGCAGCAGAAACGCAAGGAGAAGCAGGCGAAGATGGAAGATGTGAAGCCAACAGAAGCGAAAGAGACAAAGCAGAAGGATGCAGAGGAGGAGAAACCCAAGAAGAAGAGCAAAGGACAGAAGCAGCCTGCTGATTCCACCCCAGGTGACAAGACCACCACCAGCCCCTCGAGCTCACATGCATCTCCAGACCAGACGGAGGCTGACAAGAAGTCCAAGGAGAAGGCAGAGGAAAAGCAGCAGAAACGCAAGGAGAAGCAGGCGAAGATGGAAGATGTGAAGCCAACAGAAGCGAAAGAGACAAAGCAGAAGGATGCAGAGGAGGAGAAACCCAAGAAGAAGAGCAAAGGACAGAAGCAGCCTGCTGATTCCACCCCAGGTGACAAGACCACCACCAGCCCCTCGAGCTCACATGCATCTCCAGACCAGACGGAGGCTGACAAGAAGTCCAAGGAGAAGGCAGAGGAAAAGCAGCAGAAACGCAAGGAGAAGCAGGCGAAGATGGAAGATGTGAAGCCAACAGAAGCGAAAGAGACAAAGCAGAAGGATGCAGAGGAGGAGAGACCCAAGAAGAAGAGCAAAGGACAGAAGCAGCCTGCTGATTCCACCCCAGGTGACAAGACCACCACCAGCAGATCGAGCTCACATGCATCTCCAGACCAGACGGAGGCTGACAAGAAGTCCAAGGAGAAGGCAGAGGAAAAGCAGAAGAAAGATAAGACAGGCGAAGAGAAGCAGGCCCAGAAGGATGCGAAGCCACAAGACGACATGCTGCTGGACAAGAAGACTCAACTGACTGAACAGGACAAAGAATTTGCTAGATTGGATGGACAATGGAAGCCATTGCCACCAGTTACTTGGACAGATCGTTTTTTGACTCTGTCTGCAAAGGATTTGGCTGAAAAAGTTGAGAAAGCCAAACAGCATGCAGAGTTTAGCGAATTCAGGAAGTTGACAGGTTTGAAACGGAAGGCATTTGGGAAGGAGAGCCCAGTGGCACACCTTGCAAGCTTCTATCACTGGCTCTGCACGGGGGAGTATACACAAACAGCTAACACAGAAGCAGCACAGAGTGGAACCACGTCCGACAATGGACCTGAGAAAAAACGAAAGACAGAGAACAAAAAAGTGTTGGATGAGGATTCAAAGAAAGCGAAGACTGCAGACCCTAAGGATGAGGTGTCCAACAAGAGGAAGGCCATTGATGATCTTGGACCCCAAGCTTCAAAGCCAAAGATTGAGGATCAACCACTGAAAAAAATGGAGAGCAAGGACACTGGGGGAAGGGGTGCGACACACAGTGTGCATGACACAATGTGATTATATGTTGGGTCAACAAACCTAATTGAAAGAATTAGGCTACTAAGGCTATATGGACCCAGTTATGTGTTCCAACATTCGATATTGATCTGATTTGCCATCAGGAAATGTTGATCGAAAGACAATCTACACTGGCGAGTTTGGAACCTATGGCATCCCCTCCATCATGCCGTCGACAGCTCTTCTCTTCTCAGGTATTTTTGATGCAATCATTTTTTCTACCCCCATTGAGCCTATTTCCCATAGAAGTAACTTAATGATGCATTCATGTTACTACTCCTGCTGATCTTAAGGCATCCGACACTACTTCAAGCCCACCATCATCTGAAAGGGTGTCTCGGTGCAAGAGCTTGACGGATGAGGAGAAGGCCAAAATCCAAGCGATGCAGAAACCATCGGACATGGAATACTCGGATGCTTGGATATGATATTTGATTGAGGAAATAGATATCCAAACCAGTGTTGATAACCCTTGAATTTCATATCGGTGATATTCAATGTACTTGAACGAAAATCAAACTTAGGAGCGCAAACGCCAGTATGCTGCTCTTCGAAGAGCGATCATCAAAGAGGCTTCTCCAGAGCTGGTGGCAAAATTTAGCTTAGCGAATGACAAGGAGCGGCTACTCATCGAAAACTACCATCAATAAAATATTACTTGCAATATGTTTTCCATTACTTTCCCCTTATCATGGAAAGATTTCCCATTGCTCTATCCTCCAATGTCACTTCGCCCAGGTTTTCCATGCTGAAAGCATGGGTGCAAAATCAGTCTCTGGGTGACATCGAGATCGAAGAACGATATCGTGTTTGGGTTGCCAATCTCCGCACGGATCGCTATGTGACCGTGGGATCCCCAATTTTTGATATAGACACCATGTGTGTTTCAAACAAGATCATATTATTTGTAATTGAAAAATCAACAATGTCGTTTGGTCTTAGGTGACAATTCTACAGCTTGAGAAACTCTATGGAAAGAGTGCGGAGAGCAAGGCATTCATCGCTGAGTTGACCAAAGGACCCTTATCATATTTGATCCTTCTTCATTACCAATCATTGGTCCAACCTTCCTTTCCCGAAATCCATGATTTTCCATTTTACTCATTCTATGGTGTCACCACTGACGCCAGGACAGACCGGCATTCCCCACCCACAGGCCTGGATTGGTGGGATGTTCACTTCGAAATCAAACTTCCTTTTTTGCCTGAGGCGCCGAATGTGAAGAAAGCACGCATGTATAAAGTCCTTCGAGAGATTGTCGAAGACAACACCAAGGGGACTGAAACATGCAGTTCAGCAACTTGATATTATATATTTCTGTGGACATGTTTGACCATTTAAATCTTCTATAATAGTTTCCTTACTGATCATTTTTTGAATTTTTGAATTGTATATTGTATATAAGGTACATCTTCATGGATTCACATGTCAATCATGGTCATCTGAGGCATCCTTGTCAGGGCGGGTCAAGGACGCTGCTGCAAAAGGAATGCTGAGTAAGCAGCTGGGGGGATTGACTGGGGATGTTGCATTCCTAGATCAAGCCACGGGAGTGATCAAAAGCAAGAAACCAAAAAAAGAAAAGACACCAGAGCAAGAGGCTCTGGCTGAAATGAAGAAACTGCAGAAGAAGTTACTTATCTCAAAGGGTTTACTTTTGCAAATTACAATTGATTTATCATTGTTTCTTACCCGACCTAATCCTTTACAATATAATGCAATCGCTTACCTCGATCCAAGGTGGAAAGTGATCTGGAACAACCTCCACCAGTGCATCGAAGAGCTTGGAGCTCATGCAGTCAGGAACTCCTCTGAACTTGTGTCTAGACTGCATTGGCGAACAAACACACATTAGATCGAGAAACCCACCTATTATAGAAATTGTATATCTTATACACATGTTGAGTTCAAGTGTTTGTTTGTTCAGCTTTCAGTCTTTCAGAAAGTCTTTCATTATCCTAGGTTCAAGCGTTGGAGGCTCACAAGGTTCCTGCTGAAGCATCCATGCGAAGGGTCAATGAGTTGGTCAACACACCCTTGTCTAATATCGAAGCCGTCCCATTCCTGGAGAGTCTTGAATCTGAGAAGAAATGTGCTTCCCCCGTAGATACTGATGTGAAGGATGCCCGACGTAGGATTAATGCAACACGAGGTCCTATCAGGAAAAAACACAAGGCCTCTGAAAAGGTCGAGGATGATGTTTCCGACAATGATGAGGACTCAAATTAAGATGTCCTAATTTGTGTTGATATCATTTATGCGAGTGTCATGATTTCAACATGAAGAGTCCCATGCAGTAGACCCGTGTGGCCACAGGCTGCCACCCCACAAAATCAATTGATGATGGATCGTGTTTTGGAAAAAAAATATTTCAACATTATCCATTAATATCCATTAATTGTTGTTGATTCTTTTTGGATCCATCAGTATGGCCTTCACCGCATTTTACCCAGTGAAGTCGAATTTTGCCACTGCCAATATTTGGTTACAGTAACTTAATTGTTCAAAATATATTTCAATTACGATGGAATTTGTTTCTGTAGAATGTTGAGATGGGTGGCAAAATACACATGTCATCGCATGCTGCCAACTTTCAGCACTGCAATGCTATAATCATATCCCCGTGCATTATTACTGTGCAAATGGGCCCCATTGATACACTTAACAATCAACATTGATTGCATTATGTGATAACTATTGATATAGTACGTGTTTTACTATGTTATACTAGTCAAAGGATGAGTAAATGTGGCCCAACATGTCCAGCTGAAGGGGTTTTCCCAATTCATTTATGCCAAACCCGGGCTTCCTGAAACAACTGGGATGCCTGGCCAATTCCTGAGTCTTGCCACTTGGGCCTGTGCAGTGGCGGTGGTTCCAAGGGGAACATGAGCCGCACATGCCAGTGGTCAACAGGGCGAAGCAGTGAGAGGATGGTGTAAATCACTTGGGGTTGTGGTGGTGGTATAAACCACTAATCTATCGGTTGAATTGGGTATTGGGGTCCATTCCAACAACTGGGAAATTATTGGGCAGGAATCCTCATTGGGTTTGTTTTTCAATCCCCACAATTTTGAAATTTGATATCTACTGTCTTCAGGATCAAGGTGCCAGGATCCAATACATGATGTTGTGGGAACATTTCATGTTCAGCATTGTCGACAATCAAAATAAACGGTGAAATTTGTAATACTATCATTTTGAATCAACGTACAAACCAATACAAATGTGCAGCTTTCCGGGTGGCTCATGGACCTTGTTGAAGACTTTTTGGTGCTATCCAACCATGTAACTTGATTGCAATATAAAGTTGTTGCTCGAACAAAATAGTTCTTACAAAAACGGATCGACATTTTGTTCAACATGTTGGCAACTGAGGTAAGTGTCACAACTTTGGTGAAGTTTCTACGAGTTCTTCGCAAGCGTATCCCTGGACGGCATCTTCCGACTCTAGGATTCAACATGTGTCAGTTAAAACACATTCTTGAACATGTTCAAACACCAATATTTTGATCTAAGGAGGAACCTCAAAGATCTAGTATCAATTGATGATTCGGACACCAAGAATGTTGGACGACAGTTTTGGAGATGGTTACAACGACAACGATGGCGATCAATGATGCCGCGACCAATGCAGTCCCTTAGATGACATAACTTATTGTACATGTTTCACTCCTGTTCATGTACTGGCTGTTGATTATTGGTATAGTTGTTTGTTCTATTAATAAATTAATGCCTCTGTGATTCCAAGGGTGGAGCTGGTATTGAAAGATGAAAGCCAACCTGTTCCCTATCTCCTGGGGACTTGGTCCATGTTTCTCCCGAGCGAAGTGTTTCTTGTCAATTAGCTAACCTGCATTGTCATTGCAGTGTTTGGTGCGTTTGTGTGTGTGTGTGCATGTGTTCGTTTTAATGCCATCGTTCCAATCATGTTGAGGATCGGTTCCATGTATGGATATGATCAAACTTTGTTTCGTGACCGATGGCTTGGTCCCCCAGGAGTGCCTTGAAATATAGCACTGTTTTTTTTAATAACACATTGAAAGGACACACAAACAGTGGAACTTAACATTCGGCAGTTCTTTTACCTGAGGCACTTGCTGAGTTCTGGGAAAATCAGAAGGGCACCCGCTGGTTTCAATCACACCCCATCTTATCAAAAAAGGCATCTGGTCAGCATTTTGGCTTACCTATGAGCCTGTGGTGGGTCATACATTAACCTGTGCATTGCATTTTGAAATAAGGACATCAACTTGGAGTACTGCTTTCCCATCATATGCCATGGGGATGACGCTGACCACTACCGTCGACGATCATTTTGCTGTGTCACTATTGCCAGTCCCCTAGCACCTGCACGAAGTTCATGGGACACGAGAATGCTGATTTACGTGATGGACACAACGCGGGCCATCAGTGAAACCTATGACATCTTGGATGCCTGGGTAGTGCATGGGCTTTCTGAGCTTCAGGAGGGTCGATATTTTGATGTTGACATCCATGGGAAGAAGTGGAACAGACCCCAGCACATCGCTGGCGAAAGGATTTGTGGTGAATACTTTGGGGTACTTGTAGCGTTGAAAGGAGACCAAAAGTACCTTCAGCGAACTCTGAAACTGAACACCTCTGGGGTATCTGACAGGGTGTGTATGTATTGCTGTGCTACCTCATCATCCGGGGACAACCTGTACACAGCCTTTGGACCACATGCACCACACAGGTCGACTCTGGTATCAAACACGGACTTCATGTTGACTGGTTGTAGGCCTAACAGCTGGTTACGCCTCCCTGGGTTTGATGTGGAGCGAGTATTGTGTGATTGGCTGCACCTTGTAGACCTTTCACTGGTCCCAGAGGTCAGTGCTAGTGATTCCCGATTGAACCCTTAGTGCAACATGTTTCTCTCGTGCTTTGAAATATGTGTTTATGTTTCTTGCCTGTATGTGTTGTAATGTTTCCTCCCAAAGTCACAGGGTTTAATCAGTTTAATCCAGTTTATATAATCGTGATAGACATATACTGATATCTGAGGCCCTCATTGAGCTCACTGAAGATGAGACGATATGGCAGGGCGACACCCAGGATGAACGACTACGACAAGCCTACGTCCAGTTTACTGCCGAGTGTCGACAACACCGTGTGCGTCACTTGGTGGCATCTGGTTGTGCATTAGTGCGCGCGCTGCAAGGTGCAACAACTCAAGATCTCAACACACATCAACATGTTTTTTTTTGAAGATAGACTCATAGACACGGTGCCCAGGGAATCGGGGGCAGATTTTTAGTGTGCTACTTGTCTGCAGTGCGTTCATCTTGAATGTCATTATCGGGATGACCTATAGCATGCAATGTGGAATGATTAGTGGAAGATACTGAGGAAGCAAATGTATCCTCTGGGCAAGAACAACTACCCCACCCTTGTGCAGAAACATTTCAATGGTGCTGTACCTTGTCTGTCAAGCGGAATTGATACCAAGAATATCAGAAAAGTGCTAATCACATTACTTTGCCATGTTGTTGCAGCCAATATCTAAGGAAGCAACTGTGCTCGCGAAATGGCTGAAGGGTGTGACTGTTGCTGTTGCACATGCTTGCCCTGATGATCAGCATGCTATGTTTCTTTTCTTCAAATCAGTGTTTGTGTGTGCATGTGTGCATGTATCGCTGTTCGTTAGACCCTTTCTACATAGAGAACAGTGGGGATCAGCTTAGGATTCGTGCCTCTGTATTTATCAACCTCGTGGCAATGAGATCGTGCATTTCACGTTCCCGGAACACATCCTGCATTTTGGAACCCTCCAATGTTTCAGTGCTCAATCGTTCCAATTTTCTGGTTCACTGTGCGCTGAATTGTTACTTGGTGGATTGGAATGCTGAAAGTATCTCAAAACATGTCCAGTGATGTCACAAGTGCATTGTGGAGTTACAACATGTGAGCGCAACATGTCTTGAAAACAAATCTAAGGGTTGGCTCGAGAAGCAATCGACAATGAACGCTTTCTGTGGAAAATCCGTCCAAAAATTCATCAGATCCTTGACAACCTTTACAAATGTACGGCCAAGTTTTATGTTTAGGGATGTTTAGGGAACGCAAATGGTGCAAGATGGTTTCTTTGCAAATCTAAGGATTGATCATTTGGTCATCGACCAAGCGCCCCTTATGAATCCTTTGATTCTCAGTACATACGACGACGAAGACTTCGTCGGAAAGTGTAAGCGTCTAGCACTTTTGTCAGCTCCGCAGAATTTTTCATATCAAATTTGTGAGCGGTACGCCGCATATGTGTGTGTCCGCTGGCTTCGACAGCTTACAAATAGTTCAGAGGACTGAAACTTAAAATGGTTTAACTGAGTTATTTATAATGTTCAAAACTTGTGTTGGTTTGGCCCTCTCAACTCACTTGGCCCAAATTGGCCCGCGCCTGGATCAAAGCCTGCTCGAAGTGGATAAAGGCCAGGGAGATGCCCGTCGAGCAGGTGTGGCGGCTCTTTGTGGTGAGTTATAACTTTGATCATATACAATTCAAGGGTATGACCAAGGAGTTGTGAAAAAACATCAATCTCAAAACATGGTTTTGTAAGGGGTCTCCATTAGGCACCCCTTGTATAAACAGATTTCAGAAAACCATTAAGCACCCCTTGGAGGGTGCTGGTATATATATGTACATAATAATATATATATACATCTACTTAAATAAATATATATATAATATATAATATATATATATATATAACTATTATATACGTATATAACATATTAAAATATAGATAACTATAACAGATAGTGCCCGGCCGCACCGATACGGAAGTTTTTCGAGAAACTACAGGAAAACATTGCCCATAGCCTTTGGGAATCGTGGTGAGTTGTAGATGCTTTGACATATACAGTCATGTCCGGAAAAAAAAACATTGAGTAAATGAATGTGCACATGAATGAAAATGAAAAGTTGAAGGACTAAATCTATGAAGGCACCAAAATTGAATGAATTTGGCCTATGATTTCGGAAGATTCATTGGAGTTGTTTGTGCGACACCAAACAATGGATCTTTTTGTGCTGCGCTCCGCCTGGTTGACCACAAGTGTTACAACTCTTTAGTTGGGATCTATGGGCCCCCTGAACACCGGGGATTGCTACCTCACCCCCCCAAAAGAAGTCTGGCACCCCTCATCGGGGAGGTCGGGAAATGTGCGAACTAAACTTCCCTTTTGGTGAAAACACTCAATCACTTCATCTTGAAAGCTCTTTAGCTACTTGGTCCTCAGCTCCGACGATCAAGTCCAAAACTCCGTCCCCATCCCAGTCTACAACGGCAGGTCGGCAGACTCCAGCAGAAATGCCATGGAACGGATTGGGCTCAATTTCCACAAAGCGCCTCCCTGACTTGAACTCAAAAAGTGAAAGTCCCTTCTGTTTCCTCAAGATCACATCTAAATCGCCATCATCATCCCAATCCACGACAATGGGCTCCTCATAAACGCTTGTTTTGATGTCCTGGAACACCAAAAATGGATTTGCCACTGCTGCCTCTCGGACAAAATGTCTCGACTGCCCCCGGCAGCCGTGACGATCGCTTGTTTCACACCACCAGCCAAATGCGGGCAACAGCAACACAAGAAGAAGACCGAAACACTTCATGGCTGTGAGGCTCTGACGTGCTTTGGACTCAAGATCCCGAAATCACTTTGCGTTTTGTTTTTCATGCTTTTTCCGTGTTTCCTCTTCTCCAGGCAATGTGCTGTTCCTGCCTACAAGATCTCAAAGCATCAAGAAAGTAAACAGAGCTTTGAGATCTGATGTACGTTGCTGTTCAAACTGAGAGCCATAGAAGCAAATGCGTGCAATATCGAGCAGCGTACGAGGAATGAACAAGTTTGGACACAAGACCGGCTGCCCAGCAAGGAAACATGACCAAAACCTCGAACGCCTCTTCCACTGACGAGGACATATTATGTCCAGATGTCTGTCCCCGCTGCTTCCTTCTTGTTGCTGAACGAAAGCAAGTCTTACAGTAGTTCGAAAAAGCAGCACGCCAAGTGCTCAACAAAGCAGTCATAAAACCACTACTTATCCCCTCCGAACGAGCTCCTGGACATCAAAATCATCAAGTCTCCAGGTGGCTCTGAGCTTTCGTGCATCGATAATCTTGACATATTTTCTCACTAATTGACACCTTTTGAGTGTATCCACCATTTTCAGACACATATCCCAGCTTTGTCCTTATAATATATATATATATGGTAATTAATATACTCGGTGTCCATCGCCACAAACGCCCCCGCAGGAAATCCATTCCTGGCGCTGAGCTTGGGCTGAGATCCTCGGGCTGAGCACAGGAAACGAGGAGGGTGTTGAAATATTCAGATGTGTATGATTGTGGAAACACAGTTTACTCTCCACTTTGAGGAACATAGATATTTATGGAACATCAACGATTGATCGATTAGGGAAACCAGGGCTTTTCATGGATTTTCCATATGACATCACATAGTATCTGTAAACATAAGACATCATATTCTGACGATGACAATGTTGGGGGGACCAAGTTTGGTTCATTTTGACCCACACGCATTTTTGGATGGTGTACTCAGAATGACTCGCCAATCTTTGGTGGCCCAGAATGTTTTGACTCACACTCATACCCCAGCATCATCTGGTGTGAATCCTCGTGTTTGTTTCTTGAGCCTCATCTTTCCAGTTTCTGAAACTGTTACAAAATGGGGAACTTAAGATGACTTCATCAAAGCTTGACCAGGTTAAAATAGCCTATTGAAGTTATTGAAGTCAACGCGTGTTTCCAAAAGGATACAGAAGGTTCCAAAAATATTGTACATTTCCTCACTGAGACCGTGAGTCTGAGATGAAGGCTGTGGGACTTGGTGGCGGTCTGCCGGCGCGAAGATGAAAGGTCCGGGGCCATTCGATTTTTTGAAAGGAAAACATGGAGGAATTACCCGTCAACAATAGGGATTTAATAGGCTTCAATGGGGATTTAATCATCAATAATCATCAAAACTTATAGTCAATGGATTGGTTGAAGGGAACAACTCCTGGAAACCATGTTTTTTTTACGAGTACTTGTAGGGGTCTCCGTCAAGACTTCCCTGAAGCAACCCAGTGACACGGCCGAAACAACAGTCACTTGGGCATCCCAGGAATGGAAAGCCATGCCTAATGTGTATGTATATCTACAGATATAGACATGTGGACATGTAGATACATGTCCGATATAATTGGATCACACCATATGAAATATAGTGTATACGTAGTACTATGTACTGCGATGTACTGTGCGTATATATAATGTATAATCATACCTATCTACAGTATATATTGCCATAAACTTCCCATGACTGGGGGGGATGGTTGTCACAGTGCAGCGGCACCTCAGCAACAATGCAGCGGCACCAGTGGCACCTGCTTGCTCACAACAGCCCAGGATACCCCAGGCACAGGGGGGGAAATTGGGTAAATATAGGTAAGATATGGTAACACGGCGAATGGTCCCCTGCTTGTGGCTATCATTGCCCTATAAAGGGCTGGAACGACCCTGATATACAGGTTTCTTGCTAAGGATTCCGGTACTGGATTTATTTAATGATACAGTATCCTAAGATCCTAAGTATGTTGGTTAGTTTGAGATAGTATGAGCCCCTGAAATAGTCAACCAGCGGGGGTTTTGAACACTGCTCATGTGGCTTCAAGGTTTCAAACGCGAGGTTTCACATGGTTTGACTGTTCCCATATGCTTTCCTTAGACTTGATTCTGCGATTTGATGTTCATCGGACTAAATTTTGAGCCTCTACGAGTATGATTGTTGATTGTATACTCGTGTTCCCAACAGCGGAAAGCTGTTGGGTTTCAATTTGCATTCTATGCCAAGCTTTTCACTGGCAAATGGGGGTAGTAGATAGTTGTTCGGAATTTCAATGGGGAAATGACGCACGCACACACACAGACAGAGAGGTTTATTGACTCTTATCCAGTTTTGAGGCTCACTAATGTTGAGCTACAGCTCTCACCTAGAGAGGTCCTGTAGGTATAGGCTACGAATCGACTTACAAGATTGCCAATGTTTTAGTATGACTCTGTCCATGTTCGGGTGTCAATGATTTATATATATGATTTTGACGCACAAACAACAATACATAACAACACCATCCGATCTCAGAATTTGGTCAGCTGGGATCATCCCAAAAAACCGGCGCGCCTGTCAAAGGTGCTCCCGGTGCTCCT